ATCTTGACAGTTTGAAGGCCAAGTATGCATACTTGTTTTTGGAAATCACAGGACTACCACCACGGCGAGGTGTAGAGCATGAGATTATGTTGACCGACGAGAGTTCCTTGCCAAACATAGGCCTATACCGCACATCAGTACAGGAGTCCGAAGAGATCAAGAAACAGGTTCAGGAGCTCTTAGAGACGGGGGTGATAGTGCCGAGTTGTTCACATTGCGGGTCGTCGGTGTTATTGGTGCCCAAAAAGGATGGAGGCTGGCGCATGTGCGTGGATTACCGGGCGCTCAACAAGATAACGATCAAGAATCGTTACCCACTACCACGGATCGATGATCTTATGGACCAGTTGGAGGGAGCGAGGTTCTTCACGAAGTTGGATCTGAAGTCTGGCTATCATCAGGTAAGGATTCGGGAGGAAGACACTTGGAAGACGACGTTCAAGACCAAATAGGGCATGTTCGAGTGGTTGGTGATGCCGTTTGGATTATGCAATGCTCCGGCGACTTTTATGAGGCTCATGAATGATTTGTTGCGACCTTTCATAGAGGATTTTGTGATTGTGTACCTTGATGATATTTTGGTGTACAGCAGGACCTGGGAGGAGCATCTTGTTCACGTGGAGAAGGTATTTAGAGTGTTACAGGACAGACAGTTGAAGCTCAACGGGAAGAAGTACGAGTTTGGGAAGGACGAGTTGGTGTATCTCGGCTTCATCGTGGGGAAGTTTGGGAAGGACGAGTTGGTGTATCTCGGCTTCATCGTGGGGAATGGCTAGAGGAGCATAGATCCGGGAAAGGTGGCGATGATCACAAAGTGGCCGACGCCGAAGACAGTGACTTAGGGGAGAAGCTTCATGGGGGCTTGCCAGTATTTGCGCAAGTTTATTCGACATTTTTTGACTTATGCGACACAGTTACATGGCCTCACAAAGGCTAAGGTTCAGTTCGAGTGGGGGAGGACGCATGATGAGGCTTTTCAGTTGCTAAAGAAGAAGATCTCGGAGGCACCGGTATTAGCTTTGCCGAATTTTATAGCGGACTTTCGAGGTGGAGACCGACGCGTCTAGTTATGCGATGGGCGCGGTGTTGATTCAGGATGGAAAGCTAGTGGAATACCATTCTGAGATGTTTACGGGTGCTATTACGAACTATCCGACGTATGACAAGGAGTTCTATGCACTTTATCAGGCGATTAAGCATTGGAGGGTGTACTTGTTGGGGAAGGAGGTGGTTGTGCACTCGGATCACAAGTCGTTGGAGTTCTTACATGTCCAAACGAAGCTACAGCAGGTGCGTCACATGAAGTGGATGTCTTATTTGATGGCTTTCAACATCATTATTAGGTACAAGAAGGGGGCGACAAACAAGTTGGCCGATATGTTATCTCGTCCGCCGGTAAGGGCTTTATTGGTGGCGACGCGTATTCAACCCTTGGTTCCTTTGGAGTATGTACAGCTGTACGCATCCGGTAGAGACTTCGGTAGTGTGTTCGAGCAGGCGAAGACTGGTCAAAGGGGGAGTATGCACTTGAAGAAGATGGCTTGTTGTATCGTGGGACATCATTATGCATTTCGGAGGAGGGTGATAGGTTGTAGTGGATTAGGGAAGCACATACCTCGCAAGGGCATTTTGGAATTCAGAAGACGCTTCTCAATCTACGGCGACATGTGTTTTGGCCACGGATGCTTGATGATGTGATCAAGTATGTTGGAGGGTGTAAATTATGCTGTATTTCGAAGCCTTCTAACAGGAAGAGGGGATTGTACCTACCACTACCGGTTCCTTCTAGGTATGCTGTATTTCGAAGCCTTCTAACAGGAAGAGGGGATTGTACCTACCACTACCGGTTCCTTCTAGGCATGGGAGAGCATATCTATGGATTTTCTAGGAGGGTTGCCGACTACCAAACGCGGGCATGACTATTTGTACGTTGTGGTGGACTTGTTCAGTAAGATGGTGATCTTAATTCCATGCAAGAAGACCGTGACGGGAGCGGGTGCAGCACAGTTATTCTTTGAGCATGTGTGGAAACACTTTGGGTTGCCAAGTTCGATTATTTCGGATCGGGATAGCCACTTTCTCGTATATTTTTAGGATTCTTTGTGGAGTATGATGGATACTAGATCGAAGAAGAGCACGACCTTTCATCCACAAACAGACGGGCAAACGGAGATAGTCAACCGGACTATGGTGTATATGTTGTAGGGGTATAATTCCAGGCATCCCAAGACTTGGGATGAGAGCTTACCATATTTGCAGTTTGCTTTTAATCGGGCAATTCATGGATTTTCGGGAAAGTCACCGTTTGAGACTTGTTATGGATTCTTACCGCCGAGTCCGTTTAATCTTGTGTTTTCGAGTGAAGCTACGACGGACGGCAAGGAGGGGAATGAAACGTGCTCAGCGATTTCTGGAGAAGATTGCGCATATTCATGCCTCGGTTGAAGCACAATTGAAGAAGTCACAAGCAAGGTACAAGGCGAAGCATGATCAACATCGGGTTCCTTGTAACTTTAGCGTGGGCGATATGGTGTGGCTGAAATTGAGTAAGGAGAGGCTAAAGGGAGAAGGGAAGAAGTTGAAACCGATACGTTATGGTCCATTTCGGATTCTTGATCAGATTGGCGACAACGCTTTCAAGCTCGATTTACCACCTTACTTAGGCATGTATTCGGTGATCAATACCGAGTACTTGAAGTTGTTTGAGCCTCCATTACTGGATGATGAAGATGATGACAAGGTGATATTGCCGCATGTTGAAGACTTGTGGTTTGATAGAGAGGAGCCGCTGAAGGAAGATTGCATATTAGAGCGGAAGACAACCACGACGAGGCGGGGAACGAAGGAGTCGTTTCTCATTGGACGTCAAGGTCAGGTTCCTAGCAAGGCTAAGTGGTTCAACAATGAAGGAGGAGCTCGCGAGTTTTCTCAGCTGAAGTTCTAACTTGAACGGGACTTCAAGTTCCTAAAGGGGGGACCCATGATACGGGTGTATCTTCTCTTCGGAACTTAGCGATCCTCATGGGAGCTTCAGGATAGATGATTCTCATGATAGCATGAGAATAGAGGTGTCAAACAGTATAGAGGAACACAGGTTGGAGCGAGGAACGAGGCAAAGAATCAAAGAGTCAAAGTATCCAGATTTCAGCATGTGAGTCGACTCATACATGTAAATGAGTCGACTCATCAGGTTGAGTCGACTCATGCCTGTTATGAGTCGACCCACGAAACCCAGTTGTTTTGTCAAAAGTTTCTGACCAATCTACTCATCAGTTTTGAGTCGACTCAAGAACTCAAGCCCTGTTAGCAAAAGTCTCTGACCAGTCAACTCATCAGTTATCAGTCAACTCATATGAGGTCATGAGTCGACTCATAACTGTTCATGAGTCGACTCATCGGAGCTTTCCAGATTCGTTAAGAACTCTATTTACGCGTTTTCCTGTTTGGGTTGGGCTTGGTTATTTACCACTTTACCACCCTCGTTTGTACACCAATATAGGGATTGTTTTAGGGTTTAAACAATCAGAGAGTATAATCAAGGGAGATTAGATTGTAATTGAGATTTAGAGAGCTTGTTCTTCAATTCTAGAGTGAGATTGTGAGAGATTGTAAAGTGCATACTCATAATCTAGAGAAGGTATTTTTCTTCGCCCAAAACCTGAGTTATTCTTGTGTTCTTATTGTTTTCTTCTCAACCCACCTTTGATAATTCTGCGATCAAAGGTGCTCGCACGGCAACTCGTATCACTTCACCATTCCCAACACCAACAAAAGTCCACGAGAAGAAAATTAGAATTTGAGTAACCAAAAATTATCAAAATCAAATATTAACAAGAGAGAACACTAAGCGTAAATTCAACGAATAGGTGATGGGCAAAGAGTTGTACTAACCTGACTTGCAATGGAGAACAACATAACCCACCTCCTCCTGCCGAACCCACTTGCTTTGAGCCCCAAGGATCCTCACCATCATCGCCGGCTTATGCGAAAACAACTCCTTACAAAGTTAGGCGATCTTCGACCTCCGCCATTACTCCGGGTGCTCCTCAAGCTCTGTCCACTGGCGGCAACGACAAGTGCTTCGAGTCCTTGTCTGCCGCCAAGTCGGCGAACTGCAGGGAGTTAATGTCGAAATCATTGATGGTTATTCATCTGCTTTAAGGTCGACGGTGGTGGGTGATGTGGTGGCGAGGGGAGATAGGGGGCGGTGGATGCAGAGGATGATGGGCTTGAGGGAGGAGTGGAAGTGAAGGGAGGGGAGAGGAGGAGGTTGGTGGTAGTGGTTGAAGGAGAAGAGGAATGAAGAAGAGAGCTCTGGGCTCAGTTGGAGGAGAAAGAGAGAGGGGGAGATCAGTTTAGGGGTGAAGGGTAGTTTAAGATTTTTCAAGTTATTGGATAAATACAGTACAAATAATGGGTGTATTGTACATGTTGGGTTTAAAAATAAATGGGATGAGATACAATGTGTCTATTGATGTTTTAAAAAGTGAGTGGGTTTTTAAATAAGTTGGGATAAAACTTTGGGTTAAAAGAGGATTTTTCCTTATTAAAAATGTGATGAGTCAAGTAGACCCTCCTTAATTGCTATTTTTTTTTATGTTTTAAAAGATCATGTACTACAGGAGACATATTCGCAACAAATAAAACTATAAGGAGCTTATTTGCAATTGGTTGATGCTAAGAGAGTCTATTCACAATTTACCCTTTAAAAGAAACTTTTAGTCAATTTAGTCGCAAATCAATTACAAGCTGCCTTATGAATTTAACTATAATTTAACATCTACTTGCAATTATTTACATAGTAACCAACCTTTTGTTGAATGAAAATTCGTAGGCGTCATGGGCATCGCCCGACACCAAGATAAATCGGGAGCTTCTTTGACCATCGACATTTTCAGAAAGAGGAACAAAACAGTCCTCTGGAGTTATCGTATGACTAACTTGTAGAAACACCGATGAAGACAGCGCCACTAATATATGCCAACCATATATATATTAACTTAAGAAGGAAGCCTTTTTACTATTCAGTCTATTTATTATAGAAACTCTCAAGGAGAAATAAGTAAAAGCGAACAAAACATGTCTCAAGTCCAACATAACCATGGCCCTTGATGTGCTAGCTCAAACAACACAACACAAGATCACACCAGAGATCACTTAATACAATAAGAGAATCTGGAGCATACGAAGAATTACAGAACTCATGAAATACTCTCTGCACGCATACTCCCTAGCACCAACCCTCTAGTCCTGCATACCGAAAAATATTCGGATGTTAAATCTCCAATTAGACAAAAATGAATACATAACAGGTCAAAAGTGGCAAAGTTGCAGCTAGTACAGAGACAAATTTTTGAAGAAAGTATGTTCATCCAAGGCCTTGCTGACAGAGAACACATGGATTTATATAATGAAAAAAAACTAAAAGCTTGATCCATATAAATTGCTAGACAGCGATAAGCTATCAGCAGCTAATATTTCTGAAGAGGAGACTTCCATAGTTAATATTTCGATACTTGAATAATTTGAATAATTTGATAGTCCGATACTTTAATAATTTTGAACGATGATATGTTTCTCACCAACTTACAATACTATAAACTACTTAACAGGCAACTATATGCATAGTACATTTGCCATGCAATTAAGCTTAAACTGAAAAGTTAATGATGACAACGAGATAAAATCAACCCACAAACTTTTAATCCAGATGAAACATAGGAATATAAGAACAACTTTTCGCTGGACATTATGTTGAATTTAATTTGCCTTCGTCTTTTATACAATATCTGCTCTATGTTCCAAGATACCCCTCCCAACTATGGTTATCTTCAAATTAAGTACCTAACGATGTTCCTTGATGAAATCTATATTATTGATCATTGCTTGTAAAGCATGCTGTCAATATTTTCTCTTGAGCTCTAATTTCGGTAGAATTATATACAGTGTCCTAACTCAGGTAACATGTCACCGGTGGGTGATGTTTGGAACAATGCCCTGGGTGAAGCATCATCTCCTCTGTGAGATAACATCACAGTGGTGATTGATATATTCAATCGACCTCCTGTTACATCTCAATTGATAGCTTAAAAGAGTTAACAGAATTCCACATATTGTGACACTGCCATATACGCATTTCCATGTTGTGTAACTCAAACTCTAGATTAGGGGAAGGGGTACTACATCTATCCAAAACACACCCCTAGCGTCAAGACCCATCAGATCTTAAAAACTTAGGGATTTTAAGAATATGGCGGTGTTCATCCTCGAGTAGTCTAATTAGGCGGCACATGAACAAAAATATCCTAAGGGTCCCCTTATAATAATTATTGTTTTTACTAATGCATGTCATAAACCATGCATAAACATATATAAAAACAGATAAATCTCTTGTTTGTAAATTTCCTTTCCCAGATCTTTTGGAAGGATCGCCAAACATCTAATCTAGATCTTCGGACAACGGCCAGAAAGCGACCACACTGTTGATACGACGAGAAAGCCCCATATATCACCCCGTGACTAACGCATAAATCATAGAATTGAGTGGAAGAAGATGATAGTACCATGTTTTCTACATCTATTTAATCTCTACATAAGTGCATATATATAGAATAAAGAACAAAACCCTAACCCTTAAGGATTAGGAACCAGTTCACTAAAGAACTGGTTTGAGCCCATTCAGCATCCACCCACTTAATTGGGCGGACCCCACCAATTACTAGCATATTCCCACTTGCCTTAGTTCTTAATGAAATAGTATCTTATTTGGCTAGGTAGGTTTTCTGTAACGCTTTCTATAACTTTGTTAGTTACTATTAAATCGCCTAGAGCCTAGGTAGGTTATAGAAAGCGTTAGGAGGCTAGGTAGGTTTTCTATAACGCTTTCTATAACATTATTAGTTATTATTTTGGCTATTTAGCATTTAAGTATGCATGGTTTATTGTGGATCTAGAATTGCTATCTATTTTTTTATAAATTATATAAATTTAATAAATATTTTTAACAATTATTATAATTAAATAATTTTAAAAATAGTCAAACGCCTAGACGCCGCCTAAGCGTATGGTTAGGCGTCTAGGCGCTGGCTCAAACGTCTAGTCTATCTAGTCCGCCTAGTGTCTTCTGTAACATTGATGTATCATGTACACATCATATACTATAGTCTATACTAAAATAATCAAGCAAAAAGTCTTATAAAGTCATCATCCATAATAACCTAAGTGTCTGATGTCTCAAGTAAAAAATCATCATTAAAGACGTAGCCCATAAGGCTCAAGTGTGTTGCACCAGCCACACGTAAATCCCCGATCAACTGAATCATAAAGATACACTTAATACAACATCCTCCTTCCCTTGGTTCTTAATGACATAGTACCTTATTTGGATTTTATTCGATTTCATAACTAGTCGTCAATACGCCATCATAACAAAAAAATATATCAAGCTCTACATGTCGCGTTACAGTCAGATTATCCAAAAATCTATACAACTAGGCTGCATACAATCCTACTGCATATAGTACCGCATATTGCGATCCAAGTGGAAAAGGGCTATGAAGTACTGCTTCTTACTACTCTAAGAAATGACCACATCATTCAGTAAGAGTACGTAACTAGACATTAACACTCGCTCATCCAGATTGTCAACTCAGACGACATCTGAATATCTCTATATGCAAGACTCCATTCTCTCATAGCATAATACATAAAGTGCAGTCTGTATCAAATATCTGAAGATCCTCTTGACTCATCCCAATGAGTCATACCAGGATTTAACTGATGCCTACTCATCAATCCTACTGCAAAGGATGTGTCGATCATTGTACGCATACATAGCTACTAGCTACAATAGATTCTTGACATTTAACTTATTTGCTTTCATGTTAGGACATTGCTCTATACATAGAATTTGACTCTTTGCAATTGGAGTCTCAATGATCTCCATGCTGCATCTGATTAGCAAATTGTCATCGATATATGATACAGATCTCAAACTTCTATCAGCATATTAGTGTTGGTGGACCTAACCCGTCATGCTTGACGTTGAAAACCCGTTCATTTTGAGTAGTCTCGCATTTATATGGAAGATTCATCTAGTCCCAAACTTTAGTCTTCCTCATGCTCCCCATACATTATACTTCCCACTCTTTCGCTGCAAACCTAGAAATAGTGTCTCACATGACTTGGGCTCCGCAACAGCATGCGGTGCTACCATGAACATTTCCTCGTCAACTAGTCCATGGAATGATCTCGGATGTTGCTGAGATTATGTTAATGGCTCCGAGTTATCTAAAAGTATCACGCTCCCACAATCCCTAGCGGGTAGACAAACCAATTCCTCTTTCATAGCTGGATCCATGACAGTCTCCTCGATCTCATATGAACCCAATTCTTGACCTATTTTTTCTCTGTGCAAGAATCATTCTCGAGGAAATTAATATACAACTCTCTAGGTTACAGTCTCATGATATTGCTCACATGTAAACACAACCCACAGTGTCTAAAATAGTGTATGAAAATACACTTTAATATTCTATGGTCCAAACTTCTCATCTAATGAAAAGTAGTGTATGAAAGCGGCACTTCCACATGGACGTAATGATCCAACACCAACCACCGGTTGTCCATGACTCATAAGGTATCGACTATATCGATCTTGAAGGTACACAGTTCAGATTATATGCCACTTTCTTTAGCACATCTCTCCAAAATCTAATGGGTAGCTATTCTGAACCAATAGAGTTATATTCCTCATTTCTGCACCGTCATTTTATAGCAAAATATGGGATATCGTTAACCATATGACTTTTCTTTCCTTTAACATAGTTCCCTGAACTTTCAAGATAGATACTCTCACGATTAATGTGCAAAATCCTAATGCTTTTGCTCAACTGAATATTGATTTAGCAATGGAAACAAATTATCAACTAGACGTGAAATTAGGTAAACGTTATCGCAAATAAAGTAATAAATATGAGGAATTAACGTGTTCACTTAGTACCTTCATAAATGCCTATATATAACAAAGTGAACAAATTACAATTGAGGTGCTCATAGCCTTGCTAAATGACTTTCTAGTAATTATACCCTCGAGATCATTCTCGTAGATGGACAAATACCTTAGTACATATACCAAGGCTGCCATAGGCGAGCCTTCACGTCTCCACTAATATGATTAGTCTACTATACTATAAATCAGATCTAATATTAATTCATGACATAAGATAAAGTAGAAGATAACCCAGCTATCTAGTAAAGAGTCACATTCTAAAATCAACGAAGTGATTAGTTTGGCTTTTATAAGTAGAGAAATCGTGCAGCAAATTTAAGTTACCCACAAACGGGAAACCAACTAGAACCCAACAAGTCTTACTATCGAGAGACGACTCCTAAGTTTTTCGATTTTGCGCCCTTATGCGCGAAATGATCGACTTGCTCGCAGTCAAATCAATTGCTCTCTTATTATTTAGACTTTTAATTGGCTTCTTTTATTTCAAAATCTATTCCGAAAAAACTCATGATGGAGCCATTGCAATCAGGGCTCTCAGCCTTGGGCCTCGGGGAATCACTTTCAAAGCTGAATTAGACATTTTAGCCTTCAACATGTCTTGGTGTTTAGACTCCAACTTCACTTGCGATGCGATCTGCAACTCCTAAAGTTATGTAAAATCCTGATAACCGCCCGGATCTGCCACTTCTAGCTACACCCAGCTCCAGATATCTCATGATCCCTAATCATGAAGACCATCATACGAAGGTGAATTCAATATTCTGCCTAGCAATCATCTCGTTTGAATCCGACTTAATGATAAGAACTTGAATCTCATTGAACAGACTTATCTAATTCTCGCATTAAGAGCATCCTGAAAGCTTTTTGCATTCAAATTATCATCATACTCAATAAGATCACTCATCTTTGCACTCCACCTGGTAAACCACATTGAACAATCTTGTCACTTCCAGATCTTATACTGATTGGCCTCAAATCTCTGAGTCCGAGTTGTACCATATTCCGACTCAAATATATCACCTCAATATTCACCAAAATCTCCTGCTCCGAGGAGAAAATAGATCTTTTGACAAAGGTTTCTCAACTACTCGGTCTCAGACGAACATCAGAATAATTATTTTGGTACCTTAAAAGGAGTAAGACACTCTAACTACGCATACGTTAAGATTATTCACATATATATAGAGTAGTGCTCTTTCTTGAATCCATCTCATCAAGTTTTTTATACCAATAATAAAATTACATCCCAAAGAAAGAGGTCTACGGCCCCAACCAAGGTGTTCAAAGATTTTAAAATTCTTGGTTGGGGTTAGGTAGCGAGCCCCGCCCGCGACGAAGCCTGCGACGACGACTAGCGCCTCAGCCTCTAACTGGCCCTCACAAAACAGCATTATCTTTATTTTTAAACCAATCGACCAATCGCCACCGCCTAGCAACCGCGGTGGTTGGGCAATGCCTCTAGCACCAGCGCTAAGGCTATTTTCGTCGAGTCTCATTACCGATCAGCGGCCCTACCTCTAGCAGCGCGATCTGACATCGAGTTTTTTATAAAGAAGTACCGTCGCTACCAACACCCAGCACCGAAAATAGCTGGCCTTCAGCGCCCAGCACCAGGCCGCCACCCTCNCGCCGCTAACAGCTCCCCTGAAGCCCACGTCAGTTGGATCAAGGGTTTTGATTTTTTATTTCAAAAATTCAAAAAAAAAATTATTTCTAAAAAATTAAAAAAACAATTTGTTAATTTCAAAAGAAATTTAGTAACTCCCTGATTAATTCACAATTTCCCACTAGTTCATAAAAGCTAAGTTTTTATTGTAGATCTAACATCCCGATGTCAAAAAATAGGATTTTTACACCAAAACATTTATTTTTTTAATAAAGATGAATTTTTTAAAAAATTCATACCTTTATCAGTTCTAGAGACTAATATCACCATCAAGAAACGAAATCTAATCTATACAAACATCTGATGCAATAAAAAAGATCTAACCCTAAAACAAAATAAAAAATGCGAGCATCCTTGATCTTGCTCTGATACCAATATAAGTCATGCATAAACATGGATAAATCTGTTGTTTAGAGATTATCTTTACCGGATCTTTCGGAAGGATCGCCACACATTTAATCTTGATCTTCGAACAACAGCAAAAAGACAATCACACCATTGATACGACGAGAAGCCTCCGCATATCACCCCGTGACTAACTAATAAATCATAGAATTGAGAGAGGAAGATGACACTAGAATGTTTTTCTATATGTATTTAATATCTACATAAGTCAATATGTATAGAATAGATGACAAAATCCAAACCCTTTATTAGAATTAGAAACCGGTTCACTAAAGGACCGGTTTGAGCCCACTTAGGATCCACCCACTTAATTGGGCGGACCCCACCAGTTACTAACACATGCTAATCATTTGAAGCTCAAGCACAACAATTGTGTTCAGCAGTCCTTTGTTTCATAGGTCAGATTCGAGAAGCATCCAAGAAGGTTGTCAATTCAGTTTGGCGTGCTTTTGTTTTTTGTTACTTGCATTTAATCACATTGTTAACTCCAAAATATCAACAATTGCATAACCTTAGTACTCTACCTTAATATGATGTAAAAGTGTTACTTCCAAGTTAGCCCTTTGGCTATCCATCTCATTCAGCATATGGAGGAATGTCACTCCAAGCTCTCAGGTGACGGGAAGAGCCTTTAACATTAGGGCCCAATGACATCCACAACTTCTGAATATCACTCTCTCTAAATACTAATTAAGGTCAGTGTGAATTAAAAGCAGCTCAGAGAGTAAACTGATGACTATTTAGCTTCTTGAATAGAAACATAAAGTAAACCAGTGCAGCTGGTTATACAGATACAATAATTATGCTCTAACATTTATAAATATTCCCTTAATGAAAAATATATATTAATTGATGTCACAGAATAAACAATGCAGAATAATACATGACAAAGACAATAAGCGGTATCTCAAAAGAATAAGAAATGGATTGCATACCTCGTCGTCGTCGTCGTCATCCTCTTTCTTGAGGCGCGTAGTTCCTCCTTCCTTGCTGATGGGCAATTTCATTTGTCCAAAGGGAGTGTCCACATCAATATTACCCTTCATTGAATAACCAGTACCCCTTCCCCTAATCATGTCCCATACAGCAGAACCGAAGTCCTTAGGCTTGAAAGATATGGGAATCTCCATATGAGTAATTCCATTCTTCTCAAGTTTTGTAGTTTTTGTGAGCTCTGCACTCGCAATGCTAACATCAGAAAGCCAGAATTCATATTCTAACAAATTTAGTCCCAAGTCAAAGTCATTTTTGTTCTCAAGAGAGAGGTGGAGAGCTGCAGTAGTTTCTTCAAATGAGAACTTCTCAAACTTAATCTTATCAACATCAATGTCAGGCTTATATGGAACAGGGATCTCGCCTGTCTTCTTTAAAGGCAGAGTAATCCTTCCAAAAATAGGTACATCCACTATAAGATCAACCTTGATTTTGTACGGAATAATGCTTCCTGGCTTGATATCAGTATAGGTGCTCTTTATATCATCATAGATCAATGTCACGGGTATCTTGACTGTTTCTGAACCATGAGCATGGATTGTTCCCGCATCTGGGATTAATCCAGACACAAGTTTCCTCCCATCGCTTTCAATAAGGTAGTTTATGTCTACGAGGGGGATCGGAATTGGATTAGGGTTTGTGATCAGCACGTCAACAACAATCTCTATCATCTTCAAATTGATTTTAGGAATGTGAACGGCAGCAACATCTGCACTAGGCTTTCCAAATCCAACAGCCCCCTCAATCTTCTCCCCGATGTCATGAATGAAATCCTTAACCTTTTCAATGAAGCCCCCCTTGTCTTCGTCCTTGTCCTCATCTTTGTTTTCTCTCTCCTTCACTTCTCTTGCAACAACTTCCAAGTTATCAGAGGATGCCATATCTATTATTCATTAAATAGAGTTAGCAAACAATATAACAAACTCGATAATTTATTTTGAAATAAAGTTGAACAAGCTACTTTAGACTCCCGTAAGACACTCTGACATCGCATTTGAAAATTCAATTATATTTAGGTTGTGTTTGGATTCAAGGAATTGATTTCAAATTCCAGAAAGAGTTTCAAATTCAATTCCTTCGTTTGGGGAACATCCGAAATTCAATTCCAGAATTCTCAATTCCAAGTTCATGTTTGGAAACTTTAGAATTTCAATTCGGAAATTTTTCAATTTGTTTGGAAACTAGTAGAATTGCATTTCTAAACTAGAATTGTAGTACGAATACACTTTAGAAACAACATAATCAATTTACACAACTTATGCATCAAAATTGGTGGAAAGAAATGCTTCGAATAGTATATCAAATTATCCAACTAACTTAGCATATAGATAAAATGCCTTAAAATCTCAAATGCAGGAATGTTAGTAGTTCACCTAATAATCAACATAAAAAATCAATAAAATTTTGTAAACTCATCCACCACTAGCAACTATAAAAGTAATTGAAGTAGAAGCTTCAAACTTTGCATATAACAATTCAACAAAGCCAAAGATCTAAAATATCCAACAAACACAAACCAACAAAAGTTACCATCTCCCGATCATAAAGTGTCATGTTTAAGTTGCTCTCGCACTAGTTTCTTTGATGCTACTTTTACATCTGATTAAAATGAAAGTTTCTTTCTAAATTCTTGTACTCTTTACACTTTGTATATATCATTGTACCTTCCTCTCCTCCGTTCAAGAAGCAAGACGTGCTTTGCAAGGTCTTGAATCACCTGAAACAACAATAAGACTAAATTAGCTCCATCATTCTCAAAGACTGCAGACTTGCAACAGGAAAGAAATTTTCCCATGTCATATGTGGCTCTTAAAAAACAGAGGAGGCCAAGAGGATCGTGCCCACTGGGGAACAAACAAAACTGGTGATATTTATGGCCCCGGGTGGATTAGTGAGATGTATGGATATTCATTTGGTGCTGCAGAGGTTAGCATATAGTATTCATTCTGTTACCTATTCCTTATGTCATATGTCATTTTAATATCTCTCTAACAAGACTTTGTTTCTTCTAATGATCTACTTTTTTTAAACAGGTAGGCCTTCATCACAAGATAACTGATGATTTAGTGATCTACACTGGTTATATTCTAATGATCAGAAAAAGTCAGGGAGAAACTGATAGAACAAGAAGTTAGGACTCAAGATATATTTATCATATACCCAAAGATATTGCTAATTTCTCTCAAACACACACACTACCAAATGGCTGACTTCCCTATTAGTATTCTTCAAGTGAAACTTTGCAATTCTTTCAAAGCATGAATTTGCTGAGAGATTATAAGTGGTTAAAGGGATAATAATTAATAAAAGAGGGTAATATGGGTGTTCACTGTAATGACCAAGTAATCTGAGAAGTGGACTTTTCAATCAAAGAGCATGTAGCCAACAAATTGTCTTCATGAGGCAAGTGTTTCATGGTAATAGATTTGACCAGAAACTTTAGCTAAAGGGATCGAGTGAACATTATATAGGTGTCATAATATGGTCTTTGTAAATCAACAAAGTATAATTTTAAGATGTACAGCATAAATATATTCTAACTGAAACCAGGCTAAAAGCAAAAAAATATTAGAGCTTGGCCCTTCATTTAAAGAAATGACTAATGAGCAAAAGATAGATTAAAAAAAACTTATTTCTCTACCAGACAATAAAATCAAGTCAAAAAAATTGATATGTAACGCATGATCTGAAGATAATCAAGAGAGTTAAGGAACACTATCAATTTTTAAACAGCAACTGTTTAGTCTAAAAACACCAAAACTGCCAAACATTAGACAGTTCAAAATACCAAATCAGGAAAAAGAAAAGGACCAATAATCATAAGAAATCTTCAAAAATGTTCAGACATACAAAAGCTTAGATTATACAGAAAAAAAATAAACCTTTCCAACAAAAAGTGAACCAAATAGATCCCCACTAAGTCATCTAACATTAACATCACACAAACATAAAACCAAAAACAATTATTCCAAAGAAACCATCAAAAGGATGAACTTTCTCTAAGCAATAATTCCCTAAAAACAAAACCCATCAAAAATAACCCCAAAAAACCCAAATTAAAGCAAAGAACAAGGAATCAAGCAAAACCAACCAAAACCCAGATCAAAACTTACCTGAAGAAATTCCAACAGAAACCTCTCCTTTATTAACAACAGGGGAGCCTATATCATCACCATCACCACAGCTCATCACCAAGAGATCATGAAACAGTGGGCTGTTCTCATCTCCACCCATCATCACAACCGCCATTATATCAGAGACCCCTTTCAATTATAAGCACTTCTTCCTCTGTCTCATGGTAGTAAGAGAGAGAGAGAGAGAGAGAGAGAGAGAGAGAGAGAGATGGGTGTCTTTTGATTAGAGAGGGGAAGGCATTGAAAAGTAAAATGTGGGGTTTTGGATCATTTGAAGCCGCTTTTTGTTTATGGCAACAGTGGACAGAGGAAGAGTTCAGAAGAGTTCAAAATTGTGCATACCACTCTTTAGGTAGTAGGAAATTGAATATTTTTACTAACTTATGCAAAATTTGCAGGTATTCATGATGGAAGCTAATCCAAACGAAAGGCGTGGCATATTCTTACACACGTCTATACCAGTAATTTAAACGCGAAGTGCCTGAGCGCTCGAGGCGTTTTGGAAGCTCATAGCCTTGCTATATTGTCAGGCACTGGGTTGACCAAGGCAAGCGCCTAAGGCACTTCTAGATCCCCAGGCACTGTTTTTTTCAGCCCAGGCGAGGCGCTAAGGCGAGCGTTTGAGGTCGAAATTGTGACTTTTTGGTTTGGGGTATATTCATACCCCAAATAAATAACTCTTTCAAGTGTACCTAATTGAATACACTTTCTACTAAAAAGGTGTAGTGATCTCACTTTTAATTGGTGGTAGGGCCCTAGTCTTTGTTTACTTATCTGTTTATCTATTGTGTGGCTATCATCTATTTCGTTGTACGCATGGAAAATTTATAATATTAAATTACAAATATGTTTGACTTAAGATGACTCTTCCACTCCTTTGTTTCTTTATCTTTTCCATAATCCAAATTCCTGCCCTACCTCTCCGAGAAGAAGAACAAGGTAAAAAGCTCAACTTTTTACCCTTTTACTGCTTAAAATTACTGTAATTAAAATTAATTTTCTCAAGAAGTGTTTTTTTGTAACTTTTATACTGAAACTAGTTTTTCCAACATTTTGTTCAAAACATTGCTTTTTTCTGATAATTTTTTTTCTGTATATCATTCTTTTTCATAAATTTGTTATTTTCTCCTAATATTTGTTTATGTGACAATTCTTCTTCTAAATTGCTTTTCATGAAAATTGTTTTTTCTTGAAAATTATTTTTTTAAGAAATTGTTTAGTTACTTGCATCACTTCCAAATCTTTTTTAGTTTTCTTCTTGAAAATAAACTCTTCCTAAACTTAACTTATTTCTGAGAAATAACTATTTCCTTAAAAATATTTTCCTAAAATTATTTATTTCCTAAAGTTATTTCCTTAAAAGTATTTACCTCCTAAAAGTATTTCCTAAATTTTATTTTTCTGAATTTTTTCTCCTGAAATTAATAATTTGATTTTTTTTAAAGAATTGGCGAGATGTCGGATCCAAGAAAACATCTAGCTTGGGAATGGACGAAATGTGTTGTGATCCAATGGGGAAAAAATACAAATGATACTATTTGTGTATTGTGTAGAAAGCAATCCAAGGGAGGGATTTACCGTGCCACCAAGCACCTTATTGGTGGAAGAAAGAATGCAAAAGCATGCGCAAAAGTGCCTCCCAATGTACGGGAGAAGCTCAAACTGTATTTTTAAGCAAACAAGACTCGAAAGGAGCAAGAGACGACTAATTTCTTTCCTGACCTTGGTGATGAGAATATGGTTGAGGTGGAAGATGATGATGAATATAATGGAGAAGATGTGGAAATAATTCAAATTAGTAAAACAAAGGATAAAGGCAAACAAGTTGCTATTGGAAAAGAGAGTTCGATAAAGTGTAAAAGAAGTAGAAATGAAGAAGCAAAACTAAGAGCATTGAGCAAGGGGAAGCAAGTACGATCACAACCATAACAGAGCTCCTATGCATAAATTTGTCACTCCTGGTCCACTCAAAATTGTGACCGAAAGAAAAAGAAAATTGAAGATGTAGCAAGCAACAATTCAAGAATTATATAAAAAAGAAGGGAGAGAAGCCATTGTGCAACTAATAGCAAGATTTTGGTACAATGTGGGGCTTGCTTTCAATATAGCAAACAAGAGGGGTTTCATGTGATGGTTTAAGCTATAGGGAACTATGGACCGGGATTAAAGCCTCCATCACCTTATGAGCTTTGACATCTTCACTTCAGAAAGAGGTGGAACACACCAATGTATCCATGAAATCTCATAAGGATGCATGGGGAAAATATGGATGCATTTTAATGTTAGATGGGTGGTCTGATCCAATGTTGAAAAAAACGCGTTTTGTAGCGTAAAATCGCGTTTAACGTGACCTAGCGGTGGGATAACGTTACGTGGCGTTTTGAAATAGCGCAAATACCAAATAACCTACACTATTTTGGCCATAGCGTACGATATATGGCGTTTCTTCATAGCGTTTGAAGACCTACGTTATTTGATTACTTTGATTAATGGCTGTGATCGGTGTTTTTCAGGCGCAAGGTGATCGTCTCATGCCCAGGTCCGCAAGAAAGAGGGTTCAGGTCCAAAACCGCTCCCCATGTTTAAAGCCGAAGTCAAAAAGGGGGAAAAAACAAAGAGAGAAGGAAATCAAGCTAGGTTTTGTCGATCACTTATCTTTCCTCCGAAAATTGTCTGCATCCTCCACGGGCGGCCACGAAGACGACGACGATCGGCCATGAAGACGACGAAGTTCGGCTCGGCAGCGCAAGGTCAGTTTATTTTTTCCGTTCTCTTTCTTTTTTTCTTTCGTTTTCCTTTTTTCCTTCAGCTACAGTAAAAAATAATTGGAACGGAATAGTTGCATACTTTTAATTTGTTATCTTAATTACTGTAACTATTTTACTGTAAAATTAAGTTAATTAACAGTAAAAAATTAACTATATTTAGGTTATAATTTGGTTCAAGTATATGAAAATTAAATACTGTAAATTGTGATATATTGATTTGTGAAATATTGATAAGTAAAATGAGAGTGAGAATGAAATGTTTTTTTTCATTTTGATGATATATTGATTTATAAAATTGTGATGATATATTGATTTGTGAAATTGAGAATTGCGATGATTATTCATATTTTTTTTATTTTGAATGTTATATATCTATAAATTATTTAAATAACAATAAATTATTTAACCTACGTTACGCTATGCGTTATCGCTACTGTAACTTAACCGGAGGTAAGCGTTACGCTATGCGTTATCGCTATTTTCAACATTGGTCTGATCAAAGGGACAGAACATTAATCAATTTTTTGGTTAACACTCCATATGGCATAATGTTTCTTGATTAAATTGATGCATTAGCTTATGTTAAGAGGGGAGATAAAATCTTCAAGTTGCTTGATGCATGCATTCAAAAAATTGGCCCAAAAAATGTCATCCAAGTTGTCACAGATAGCCATTCAAGTTATAAGTATGCAGGTATGTTTTTTTAATCTTGTCTAACTTTAATCACATTCAAAAGGTTCAAGTGGTAGATAATTAGTGAATAAGCAAGTGCTAATATTTTCTTATTCCTAGGGGGCTTTCGGATGTCAAATTTCCACATCTATATCGGTCTCCATGTGCCGCTCATTGAGTGGATCTCATGTTGGAAGATTTTGGAAAATTGTCTCGTGTGTAGAGATGTTTACAAAGGGCTATGCAACTGACCTCATTTATATACACCCATCCGAGTGGCCTTCGCATGATGAGAGATCTTACAAAGAAAAGGGAGTTGCTTAAGCCGGCAATAACAAGGTTTGCCACCTCTTTCTTAACTCTAAAATCAATTCACACGCAAAAGTCAAGCTTGAGAACAATGTTTAACTCATCAAGATGGAAGGCCACTCGATGGGCTAAGGATCCAAAAGGAAAAGCTATCGTCATGATTGTGAATTCTACATCCTTTTGGAATACCATACTTTGGATTCTTAAGTGTATAGGTTTGCTTGTGAGAGTCCTTCGACTTGCTGATAGTGAAAAGAGGTCGGCTATGGGTTATATCTATGAGGCAATGGATAAGGCTAAGGAAGCAATTCAAGCTTCTTTTGGTAATGAAAGAGAGAAGTATGAGGAGGTTTTCAATGTAATTGACAAGAGATGGGAGGTCCAACTTCATAGGCCATTGCATGTCACCGATCACTACTTGAATCCGGAGTTTTCTTATGCAAATCTTGAATTAGACGTGGTTCAAGAGATAATGCAAGGTGTCTATCATGTTATTAAAAAATGTGTCAGATCCCATAATATAAGATAAAATCACTAATTAATTACCATTATTTAGAGAAGCACGGGAGCTCATTGGAATTGATATGACGGTGTGATAAAGAAGTACCAAGTTACCCAGAAATTGTCTCTCATTTTGTATTGGTTCCAATCTTTACATCTACATATAGTTCAAAATTTGAAGTTCTCACGGCCACTCATTTTTCTGTAGATCCATACTAAAAAAAGGAATAGGCTAGACCAACAAGATCTTAACGACTTGGTGCTTGTGAAGTATAATCGACAACTAAAGGATCAATTGGTCGGAGGGATATCATTGATCCCATATCATTGAAGCATATTGATGAAAGCAATGAATGGCTAGTTGGGGTGATGGAGGATGAGGGAGAAGTGCCAGTTTTTTATGATAACCCTACATTCACTTGGGGAATAGTTGCTCAAGCTTTGGGAACTAATGAACCAACAAGGACTTTTAGATCTAGATTATCACGAACAGAGGATGGTGTACGTTCTTCTTGTTCAAGGAGAAGGATAAAACCTAGAGTACATGTGGAGGAAGAGGAAGCACTATCTTTTTCAGATTCATCAAAAGACGAGAACTATGTAGAAGAGGAAGATTATTTATCAGATGATGATGATGACGATGATGATGATGATGCTTGGGAAGAGGACGTGGTGGAGGATGATGACTAATAGATTTTAGTTTATAACATTTTGTGAAGTTTGACTGAGTATTTTTGTGGTTGTAGTAATGGGTTTATCTTGTTTTGTGGACATGATACATTTATGAACTTGAATGTTCATACTTGCTTAAACTTTTTATGTTAGTACTTAATACTTTTTAGTTACTACTTACTACTTTATTTAGATGACTTTTGGCTACAATTCATGAATATCTTGTTATGATGTAATTTAACTCATAATGTGTTTATATCAGTATTATTTATAAGTGTCATGATTTTTTGTAATATTTTATCACCTTAGCTTACTCAGGCAAGCGCCTTACTTGGCGCCTCTCGCCTCGAGCGATATAGGACTTAGGAAGCCATCACCTTGGTGTCGCCTTTCATCCATAAAACACTGGTCTATGCTTTAATTAAATCAAATCCCAATCCAAGAGTTTAAAACAAACATATTCTAGATAGCAGTAGATTTTTCTACATGCATTAGAAGTAAAACCCTGTATATGCTCTATAACATCTATGCATCAGCATGCAACATAATTCTAAAGACCCTAAACAACTGTATCTCGCATGCCAAATCAATAATTCTTCATGAAAACTCTTCAAATATGTATTACAGGAATTATAACTGAAATTCAACTTGAAGAAACAAAAAACTTAAATTATACATCAAAGATATCATAGGATGAGCAAGGCAATGCTAATCACTATAGAGGAAAGCTTGACATAGAAAATTGAGGCAATGCTCATACATACGCTAACTATCTTGCTGCTAGAACAAAAATAGAACAAGTGATCTAATCCTTACCTGCGCTGAGCAATTCACTGAAGTATTAAGTGTGTCTCTTCAACAAGTGTAAAATCTACAAAAAAATAAATTGTAGAATGAGAATTATACTAATTTATAAATCCTGGTCAAAGATATAGAACAAATAAAGAAACTAAATCAAAAAAAGGTATCATCTTTCACGCATGCAGATAGAGAGCAGTTAATTAAAAAAGGACCAGATCAACAAGAGCAAGAGGAACTGATATCGATTGAACCAGAATGAGAAAATTAGATCAATCGCAGCCTCAGCTAGAGATCCCCATAACCAATCGAAGCAAAGTTGGTGAATAGAAGAAGAAAAAGAGAGGTGAAAGCTCGAATCCCAAAATCTCAAGTTTGATCTAGGGTTAGGGTTTCCGTGGAAGTGGAAAGGATTGAGAGGGAGCTCGGTAGAAAAATCAATCAACAGAATAGAGTTTGAATCTAGGGACAAAACATAATATCAATTGAAGAAATTAATGACGACTGTTAGCCAAACAGAATATCGATTTTTGAAGATCAAAGAGAAGCTTATGAGCAGTTCAGATCTAGAGAGAAATTAAAGTGAAAAGAGAATATCGATGACCTGATTCAATAATTTGTTCCAGAAAAGAGAAATAACGTTGAGATCTTCACCTTGGATCAGTCAGACGGTGAGTACCGTTGAAAAAATAGGAAGCAAACAAGCAAAGCTCAAGCAGCGGTCTTTGGTCGGCGGAGAAATTATAGGCGAGTCTTTATAGTCACAGCTGAGTTCTGGTCACCGCCTAGTGTGGAAAATATGGGACAAATTTTCAAAACCAACCTATTTGGACTTTTATTCCCAAAAAAAGACCCGTTTCACATTTATTTAGAGAAACCGACCTAGTTTCAGCTTCAGCGCTGAAACCAGGTCGGTTTTTGAAAAAAACTCTCCGAAACTTCACGGGAGTTGAACTCCCGTGAAGTTTTTTGAACTACGAAACTTCACGGGAGTTCAACTCCCGTGAAGTTTCGGAGAGTTTTTTTCAAAAACCGACCTGGTTTCAGCACTGAGGCTGAAACCAGGTCGGTTTTTGTAATTATTTTTTAATGGGGTCGTTTTTTGGGAATAAAAGTCCAAATAGGTTGGTTTTGAAAATTTGTCCGGAAAATATGCTTACACTTCATGGTCCGCTACAGAGCCGGCCTAGGGGTAGGGCCACCAGGGCTACAGCCCGGGGCCCACAACTGAGGGGGCACTAGGGGGTGGGTGAAGAAACTATGGGGTGCACTAATAAATAAATAAAAAACCACAATTACAACTCATAGCAAGTTGTCAAGCCTCTTAGTCTTCTTCATCCCTACACTAGGCCGGCTCTGCTAGTGCTAATTTCCCATCAACCCACCAGTCACCTCTTCTTCACCTCATCTCTTCCAGTCTTTCTTCACCTCATCTCTTCCGGTCTTCCTTCACCAAATATTTTGGAGCTCCAATTTGAATGCTGTAGAGAAAAGCGAAACCAAAATCGAGCTCATTTCGTCGTCCAGGGAACAAACCCGAGCAAGTAGGAGGTCAGATCTCATTGATTTTGATTTTATTATGACAGAACTAAGTTTTGTGTGGTTCTTTATCAAAAAGTAGTTGCTTAATGAATAGTTATTTTTATCTGATCTCTTTATTTTGGGGAGAAATTCTTTTAGCTTCAAAAAAAATATTGTCTTGAGTCATACACGACGAACTCGGGGTAATTTCTAGAATGGGTTTGTTAGCATGAATTATTTGACTGGGTTTGTTAGCATGAATTATTGTCTTGAGTAATACGTATCTTTTTAACTTTTTCTTATTTATTATTTGATGTAGGCATCGAAAATTGCCTATAGGTCTCCACGAACGGTTCAGTGTTAAAGAGCGACGATGAACGTCACCATCCGATCCACAAGAGTCTAATTGACGTCGACGAACGACTGAAGTGAATCGACGAGCTACGTGAGCTGATAGGATCTCGGAACAACGAAGACCCGGACCAATCGGGAACCCGGCACCGCTGCAAAAGAAGCAGCGCCCTTCGTGTCCCGTTCACCCCACTGATAATCCAACCATCAGGAGCTCTTCGTCAGAATTCCAACGCATCCGAAAGCACTCGAATCCGAGTTGGGACGAAAAGTCAACGGCGGAACAACGGCAGAGCCTCGGACTGAACCGGGGCACCCAAGAGTATCTCGGCGAGCTCGAAACACCCGAGGGGTGTCTTGGCAAAACCAAGACCCCCCAAGGGTGTCTCGGCTTGGCCGAGCCACCCAAGGGGTGTCTCGGCCTGGCCGAGACACCCCAAGGGGTGTCCTCACTTTTTTACCCCCCCTCACTCCTCTTGGCCTATAAATAGACCCCTTGGGTCCTCATTCAAAGGGCTGGAAATCTTTGGTCTTGGAGAAAGGCTAGAGAGATGGAGGAGGATTTTTGGAGAGCCTTGGCGAAGCCCTGCTGCAGCGAGGAGTGAGCGAGCCGTCTACAGCAAAGGAGTCTTCTTCTTCATTCACCCCTTCTCTTTTCCTTAGTGTTGCCCCTTAGCGGTGATACTAAGTAGAGCGCATATCTCGCTTAGCCGAGATAGACGCTATAAACTTCTAGATCTCACGCGGATCGACGAAGTTCTGCTTCTATATCCCTTCGCGGATAGACGAAGCTCTGCCAGATTTTCTCGGAGCAGATCTGATTGCCCGGTGGTCCACGGATATCAACGTCCCCGTCACAGGCCAAAGACCCACGCAAGCAAGAGATGATAAACGGATCTTGCGTTTGTTTGAAAAGAGTTGTATTTCTTTTGTTTTCATTGTGTACCGGTCTTATAAAAAGGCTATCTTTTTGTTTCATTGTAACGATCGAAGTTGTAATGAATGCAGCAATGAATACAGCAACTTTTTCCGCAAACATTTGATTCAACAGAAACATTGGCTGGGATTCTTGATCTTTATAATTGGAAGTTTCAAGAGGAAGAAGTGAAGAACATATGCTCAAAATCCAGGTTTTATTGTTCTTTGTTCTTTGTTAAGTGTTTATTATAAAAATTAAAAAATGTTTCCTAAGAAACAACTTTCCGGAAATCTCAAGAGACAAAAAAAGAAAAAAAATGATGAAATTGCTCAAAGTTTAAGAGGATCTTTGAATAAATATTTTGTTAAACAAACCAATGCTTCACTTGAAAATTTAGATGAAGATGATTTACCAAATGAATATGAACACCCAATATTGGAAGAATTAGTAGAAAATGAGAATGATGTGAATGAAGAAATTGGTGATCTAGATGAAAATGAAAATAGTGATGAACCTTTCCTTGATGAAAATGAAAATATTGATGAACATTGCCATGAAAATGAATGTCCCGAAACAAGATTTGATTTGAACATTTATGATCCACGAGTTTGGGATAATCTTGATGCAAAAATGAGAGATTTACTTGTAGAAAAAGGTCCCCTAAGAGAAACTAATCTCAAATTCCCCATGGACGAACACAATAGACATTTTTCTTCAAATTATTATATTCGTACGTTACCAAATGGGGAAACTAAGGATCGAAAATGGCTAGTGTACTCAAAGGAGTTGGATAAAGTGTTTTGTTTCTGTTGTAAGTTGTTTAAAACAATGAATTCTAGAAGTCAGTTAACTAGTGAAGGAATTAGAGATTGAAACCATCTTGGTGAGAAGCTTAAACAACATGAAAGCAGTATTTGACACCTCACTAACTTGAGGTCTTGTGTTGAATTGCAAATCAGATTGAAAACAAATCAAACAATTGATACAGAATTACAAGAGCTAATCAAGAAAGATACACTACACTGGAAAAATGTTATTGTCAGAATCATTGCTGTTGTGAAATGTCTTGCTACACATAATTTGGCTTTTCGTGGAACAAATGAAAAAATTTATGAAGATGGTAATGGTAACTTTTTAGGCCTGCTTGAAATGATTGCAGAGTTTGATCTAGTAATGCAACACCATTTTCGACTCATTCAAGATAAGAAGATTCATTATCATTATCTTAGCCATAAAATTCAAAATGAGTTGATAGCTATTTTAGCATCAAATGTTAAACATGCAATCATTGAAAAAATAAAAACAGCTAAATATTTTTCTGTCATTCTTGATTGTACTCCTGATGCAAGTCACAAAGAACAAATGACTTTAATATTGAGGTGTGTAGATGTTTCAAGTACTCCAATAAATATAGAAGAGTATTTTTTAGAGTTTCTGAATGTGGAAGATACATCTGGATTAGGACTTTTTAATGAATTGCAAAATGTAATTGAGTCGCTTACACTTAATATTGATGATGTGAGGGGACAAGGTTATGATAATGGCTCTAATATGAAAGGAAAAAATCTAGGTGTACAAAAAAGATTACTTGATATAAATCCTAGAGCATTTTACATGCCATGTGGTTCTCATTGTCTCAACTTAATAGTTTGTAATATGGCCAACTCATGTGTTAAAGCAAAATCTTTTTTTGGAGCATGTCAATGCATATATACGGTATTCTCTAATTCAACAAAGCGATGGAATGTGTTACTTGATTACATAGATGGTTTGACTTTGAAATCATTGTCAACTACACGTTGGGAAAGTCACATTGAAAGTGTCAAAGCAATAAAATCTCAAGCTTCCCAAATTAGAGAAGCTTTATTTAAATTAACAGAAATTAGTGAAGATGCCAAATTGAGTAGGGATGCTCAAAGTTTAGCATCAGGAGAGCTTTCAAGTTTTGAATTTATATTAAGTTTGGTTATTTGGCATGACATTTTGCATAAGATTAACTTAGTTAGTAAAAAGTTACAATCTGAAGACATGCGTCTTGATGCTGCTGTAAGACAATTAGAAGGACTTGTGTTATTTTTTGAAAACTATAGAATAAATGGGTTTGTTTCTGCCATGATTGATGCTAAGCAAATTTCCCTTGATATGGGAATTGAGCCTATATTTCCAAAAAAAACGTCAAGTTTGTAGAAAAAGGCATTTTGATGAGGTTTCCAATAGTGATAGGGAACAACAATCAGCTGAAGAATCATTTAGAACTGATTATTTTCTTGTTATAGTGGATATTGCTCTTGGTGAATTGAAGAATAGGTTTGAACAATTGCATTGTTTTGAATCTATTTTTGGGTTCTTATTTGATGCTGCAAAATTGACTTCGCTTGATGATAATGAATTAAAAAGTTTTTGTGTGAATCTTGAAAATGCTTTAAAACATGGTGATGTTTCCGATGTTGATGCAAGAGACTTATTTTCAGAATTACAGGTGTTGCAAGTGATGTTACCAAAAGAAGCATATGAAACAGATAAACCATGGACATCCATTAAAATTCTTGAGTTTGTAAAGAGTGTGGATATGTTTCCTAATGTAATGGTTGCTTATAGGATATTATTGACTATACCTGTGACTGTGGCATCTGCTGAAAGAAGTTTTTCTAAATTAAAATTATTGAAATCTTACTTGCGGACCACCATGACTCAAGATAGGCTAAATGGATTAGCGATATTATGCATTGAAAAGGATATGTTAGAGAACATTAAATATGATAGTATAATTGATGATTTTGCATCTAAAAGTGCAACAAGAAGACATTTTAAATGATGTTTTGTAGTTGAGATTTCATTGCTATTTTTATTTTGTAGGTACATGTGATGATTCTTTGCTTCGATTAATTGTGGAGGATGAAAAGAAGATTGATCAAATCAAGAAATGCTTATGGAGATTTGGGAGGAAGCATGTAGACTCAAATATGTAGTTTTTCACTTTTTAATGCAATGTTTACAATCCAGAGGTACTCTTTTTCCTTCTTTTAATGCAATGAAAAGAAGATTGTCTTTTGTAAAATCTTATAATTTTAATAAAGTTAATTAGTTAATAATTTATTTATTTGTTTGTTTAATTTGTATAAATGGGGCACACAGAGAAAATTTGCCCTGGGCCTTAGAAAACCTAGGACCGGCTCTGGTCCGCTAGCATAAATCTCCGCTGTTGCAGGCTCTGCAGGAGGGAGGGTTAGGTAACAGGGAGACAGGATGAACCGGTGAGTAGCGAGGTGGGAAAGTCTCCATCTGTTTTCACTCGCACTCGGACAACAATTTACGTCTTCAGAGAATATTGGGTCCCGCAACGTGCGAATGGAACGTGGTGAAAATATTGAGTGCGCTTTGTTGATTCTTGGCGTTTAATTTATGAGCGTCATGATGGAATCGCAACGGAAAATTAGGAATTTATAAATCAAGTCGGATTTGGCCATGCTACTTCTGACTATCCACGGCCAGGGTGCGCTCAATTTGGTCCGGGGTCGATAGGACGCGATATGTCTTGAATTTGAGGTGTAAAAAGAGATGAACGGATACAAGATACTTTAAGGGGGTGTTTGTTTCATCAAAAATTTTGGCATTTGGTATGGATTATAAGTTTTGGAATTAAAAAGTGATTTTTTTTGTATTTTGGGATTCCATATATGGTGTTTGTTTTAAGAAAATTTTTAGAATATTGAATCCCAAAAGTGCAAAAAGTGTCCAATTTTTAAAATTTGTCAAATCCTCTCAATTGGAGAGGATTTTGACAAATTCCATAAATGGGTGTGTTTACCACTCAATTGAAGAGGATTTGACAAATCTCAATTTTATCTTTTTGTGGGAGTTAACCTCACCAAGATAGCATATTCATCATATTATAAATTTTTGGCATTTGGTAATGCTACAATTTGAGCTTGAAATAAACAAAATATTACAAATTGTAGTATTCTAAATCCCAAAATATTAATGAAACAAATAATATTTTAGAAATCCCAACTCATAACAAAACACCTATGGATTTCAAATCTCATGGTGAAATCCATATCCTAAAATTACAAGATTTGAAACAAACACCCCCTAAATCTCTGATAAATCACGGTTTTATGTGAGCTGTCATTTGGATTGATGGAGTTTTAGGATCTATTTAGCACCCAAATTGATAGAAAACGTGTGCTTCTGACAAAGACAAAACTAGCATAAAATTGTTCTTCAAATTTTCTATTGTGACGCCACTGGTTTCACACAAAGCTGCAGTCTAAGGTGAACCCAATGATGTCAAACATGACATGCACCCAACATTGTGCAATAACATGTTTATCATCACAAAAATATCTCTCTAGTGGAATCAAATAAAAAAAGTACGGGTACAAGCAAATAGAGTAAAGGTAAAATAATACAAGGAACATAATATAAAGAAGAGATATCCAATAATAAATATAATCATGTTCCAACAGAAGATAAGTATTACATCTGATAAGTCTGAAATAAGAGTAATAAATCTCTAACACAAGAGTCTTCTAAATACAGTACTAAGGCACTCAGCCTCCAACATGAAATACATCTCTAAAGACTGAAAACAAATAATAAACCACTGTGGAGCACTAATAAACTACTAATAGATGACAGTGAGCTAGATTGAATCTCCGTCAACCTACGACTCTCTGGATACCTGACTCGCTACCTGAAAAATGGAAATAAGTAGCATTAAAGTGCTAGCAAGAACATCTCCACCACCCTCAGGGGGAAGGGGTTTTGTGTATAAAAATACAAGTGATAACATATATAATATATGTTCGCGGGAAAAATTGTTTTCATTGATGTCATTGTTTTCATTGATGTCATTGTTTTCTTGAGCAACAGTTTATCGGTTACAAAAGATTCGGTTACAACAAAATCAAAGAAAAAGAAAAATCTTAAAAGATTACAACTTTTCTTTTCTGGAACAAATCACAAGATCCTGTTTTGCGGTCTCTTGCTTGTGTGGGTTCTTTGCCTGCGCCGGGGTTAATCCGTGGACCACCGCACGATCTTGATCCGGTAGGATCTACACGGTATGACGGGTGTTATTTCACGAAGGAAATAACAGCCGAGGGGATTATTTCACCAAGGAAATAATAGCCCTAAGTAATCGAAATCGACCAAGCGAAATCGATACTCTTCTCGGGATCAAAAAACCAAGTTTTTGATCCGGAGGATGACCGTGTGGATCTCAGATCTGATCTCTCTCGAACTCCTGCCTTATTTGACGTGGATGATCACCAAGAACCAGATCTGAAAAGTCCGAGTCTTCAAAGCTCCAAAACTCCAAAGTTTAATTCTCAATACAGCAGAGTTTCACCTCCAAAGTTTAACCAAAAATCCAACCTCCTTCTCTATTTATAGGTATTTCAATCCAGATCTAGGCTCAGATCTGGGCCCAGATCTGGGTGGCTCGGCCAGGTGGCTCGGCCACCTAGGTGGCTCGGCCACCTAGGTGGCTCGGCCACCTAGGTGGCTCGGCCACCTAGGTGGCTCGGCCACCTAGGTGGCTCGGCCACCTAGGTGGCTCGGCCACCTAGGTGGCTCGGCCACCTAGGTGGGCTCGGCCACCGAGCCACCTAGAGGTGGCTCGATTTCGGCCGAGCCCTCCAGGTGTTTGGTTTTACCGTTTTCTGGTTTTGCGCTTCATTCGAACTAGATTTGTTGATCTGGACTCTAATTTGGCAGTCCGGATCCTGATTTAGCAGTAAATCCGCTTTGGTGTTGTGGTCTAACGATCATGCTTGGATATATCGCCCGATGGTTCGTTGGTTTGTCGAATCACCGTGCCGAGCTGTGTTAAGGGACCTATAAGCAGTTTTATACGCCTACAGATACCCCCTCCAAAGTATTTCAGCCTCATTCTTTTATAGAAGAGTCTGGAATACTTTGGATATAATTGTCCCAACCTTCAATCGGTGTAACGGGACCTTGGAATGGCTTCTATTCTTGATTCTTTTAATCCTCCAGGCTATTCGGTACTTTGTCGAATGTCTGCAAGAGTTCCGGTGCTGCATTTATTGTCTGACCGTTGTCGGAATTTTGAACTTGAAGTCAATTCCTAATTTTCTGATTTTTAGCTCGTGTTTGCTGCTTCAACATAGAACCGACCATCAATTGTTGGCGTTGAGTCTTCATTTGCAACGCGTTGTCCGGTGTTTGACACAGTTTATACTCGTACGTCTGCTGGAGTCTTGAGAAGCAGTTTATACTCTTATACTTTTCGGAGCATTGTTGAGTTATCCTTAAGAATATTTTTTTAAAAAAATACTCTCCAGAAACTTCTCAACAAAAATAGGGAATAGTTTATACTCGTATACCTTAATCCTTAAGAATATTTTTGGAAAAATACTCTCCAGAAACTTCTCAACAAAAATAGGGAATAGTTTATACTCGTATACCTTATTGGAGTACTTTTCATGTCCGAAGGAGCTGAACCGGCCCGATAATGACCCAAAAAGGCAGTAATTAGGCTCAACAAATCTTCCGACCCTTCCGAATGTGTGGGAGAGGAATGAATAAATAAGGGACTGAACCATCGGTCGATTTGAAGTCGTTTCGATACTCGGTTCAGCTCTAATTTGAATTTTGGTTCAAATCTGGTACCTGGTTCAAGATTGGTTCAAGACTGGTTCAGGACTGGTTCAGGACTGGTTTAGCCTGGTTCATCCTGGTTCAGGCTAGTTCATCCTGGTTTGGTCTGGTTCAGCCTGGTTTGGTCTGGTTCAGCCTCATTTGAACTGATTTAGCCTGGTCTGGTCTGGTTCAACCTGGTCTGGTTCGGTTCAAGGCTGGTTCAACACTATAAAAGAGCCTCTTTTCTCCTTCATAAGGCCGGCCCCCCCTCTCCCTCTTTTTGGAATTTTCTCTTCCCTCGTGCATCCTTTCTCCTTCAAACCCTAAAATTCGTCTAAGATCTACCTTTCCTTTTGATCTTAGACTGAAAATACTTCAAAATCTCCATATATAAAGTTTCTCTCAGGCTCCTCGAGCACGTGATTCAAGCCTCCTTCAAGATCTGATTTTTGTTGGATCCTCGAGCTTTTCCTCAGGTAAATCCTCCATAATTTTGGCATATTTCATGTTTAATTCAGTATATGAATTTGTGGGATTGCATATGAGGGTTAGGGTTGTGATTTAACGTCCCGAGCTCATATTTCAGGGGGTAGAATTTGGAGATCTGAGGGGTTTAATTGCAATAAAGAGGGGCTAAAATTTTAGGGTTAGAGTTTGTCACCCTAACTGAAATTTTTTCTGTATCCGATCCTCTGATTTATTTTGCAGATCACCATGTCGCATATCCCGAGAGGTCAATCTCCTACTGCGTCGGATGATGGCGTGCTTCCCTCGTATACTGGTGAGCTCTTTTTTTTGGCGTATTTCGAAATTTGTAGATTAATCCTTTTTCCCCGTTTTGTTCTCCTTGGTGAGACAATTGGGAAGAGCCTTGATTCTCCTTGGTGAGGATTGACGCTTTAAAAGATAGGTTTTACTTGGTCAAAACCATATCTCAAAAATAAAGGGGGCGCTTTGAAGCTGCATTGTGTCTTATAAGGCAGTGATATATTGTTGATATACCCTATCTTATGAATGCATAATGTGGCCAAATCGTCTCACCCTTTATAAGGCAGTGATCTTACCCATTTGTAAGATGAGTTCAACTTCCTTTTATAACTGAGACTAACAAACTCTTAATTGCTTGTTTTCAGTGGAATATCCCTCTGGAGCGTTCTCATCTCATGCAGTGGACGGGCGTCGTGACGAGTATTATTCAACCTCCGATGATTTTTCACCTATTCCACTTACTCCTCAGTTTGCTTCGGGCACGTTGACAGAGGTTGCCCAAGTGGTGAAGGAAGGTGGACATCGAGTTCTTCGATAGTTGATTACTGATGCGCCTTTCGTGAAGGATACCAGCTCTGTTCAGCCTCTCAGG